TGATTGTGGAGCCGAGCAAGCTGTAACTATTAACAACCTCAATCTCTTTTCCATCTATCATAGTGCTGCAAATTGGCCCAGTAGTGAGAATCTTTGTTCTTTCGATGTTGAACTTCAATCTATATTGAAGACTACAGTCCTTGATCTTCTGCAGCAAACACTTCAGGTCCTCCTCAGTTTCAGGAAGCAGGGTTTTTGTTTGTTTGTTTGTCTGCATAATGCAGGTTATGCAGATTCTGGATAACTGAGAGAAAATGTGGAACAAATTTCAAAATCGTAAAAAAAAACCATGCTTACTGGTCTTGCAGGATCTAGTGGAACTTCTGAGACTATGGCCCTCAAACATCCTTGAAGCCTGAAACAGAACTCAACTTTCACCAAATAAACAGGCTTAAAACATGATCAGCCACACCAAGAAAGGTCACTCTCGTGAGACCAACCAACCACATGGAAAGGGCAGTGTGTGTCCAGGTATAAAGATCTGAAGGAACCACAGGAAGTACAAACAGAAAAGACAAATACAGGGAAGCTGCTATTACAACATGAGGCATGCAATCAACATCACAAAACAAAATGTGCTGGAATCAACTTTGACCCTTATCACAATGAAAAGTTCATTTTCTTTTAAATAGATTTTTTTTTTAATGAGACTATGAAGAAGTTCTGGCAGTAGAGTACTGGGCTGCCAACCACAAGGTCTGGAGGTCAAAACTACTAGTTACTTCCAGGAAGAAAGAAGGGCATCCTCCTCCTTCAAACATTTACAGCTTTGAAAACCCCATAAAAGGGTCAGAGTCAACTCTTCAGCAAAGGGTATCAATTGCTGTTACTAGGAACCTTTGAGTAGACCCTGTGAGCAAATCAGAAGCTTGCCCTGTCCTGGACAGTCTTAACAATCTCCAGCATGCTCAAGCCCACCATCCTAGTCACTGTGTCAGTTCACCTCATTGAGGGTCCTTCTCTATCTCACTGACCCTCTATGTTTCCCATCATGGTCTCTCTCCAACTAGTTCTTCCTGAGAAAATGCACACTGTAAGTAAGTGAGACAAAGTGTTACCACCTTTGCCTTCAAGAACCACCTTCGTGTTACTTTCTCCAAGACAGATTTGTATGTTCTTTCGCCAACATCACAATTCAAAGTCTTCAATTCTTTTTCTGCCATTCTTATTCACTGTCCAACTTTCAGATACATACAAAGCAATTGAAAAGGCTATGGCTTATATCAGGCACACTTTAAAGTTATTTCCTGCTCTTTGGCTCTTTAAATACTTGACAGGTGTTCCCAATCCCACATATCTTTTGATTTCTTAACATTTATCATGATGAAGCCTGAAGCATTTACTGCAGAAAATCAAAGACAACTGCCTTCAGTGTCAAGAAAACTAAAATTCTCACCATTGAATATTAACCGTTGCTGTCAGTTGCATCGAGTTAACTACAACTCAAGGCAATCCTGTGGCCAACAGATCTGAAACCTGTGCCGTCCTGTGCCATCCTCATCGTCTAACACACCTGAGCCCATTGCTACAGCCAAGGTATCACTCCATCTCATTGAGGGTCTTCCCCTTGTTCGATGGCCCCCATCTTTCAAAGCATGATACCCCTTTTTAAGCAACAGTCTCTCCTAGCAGCACACCCAATGGACATGAGACGCAGCTGCATCATCCTTGCCTCCAATGAGCATTCTGGCTGCATTTTTTCCAAAACATACTGTTTGTTCTTTTAGCAGTCCATGAAATATTCAGTGTTCTTCCCCAACCTGACAACTCAAAGAAATCCATCCTAGACCTCTAAAGATCTCAGAATGTCCTTAAACTGGGGTCACTAGACAAGTCCTCTCTACTGTTTCTTCAGGATAGTTTTAGAAAATTCATCTTGATCTGCTATGAACTTATACACTACCATCCATGTTCAAGTTAAATCCTCTAGCATTTACTAACAAGAGGAAAAGTGTCTCCAAGTATGAAATTATTTACTGGGAATTGAAAAGCTGGATCAAATGTGAAAATTAGTGAACAGACATGGAAATCACAGGTAAGCTTCAGTGTTGTCCAAGACAGGGGCTTCTGGGCACTGATGGCTGGTAGACATTCCAACCTCACAATCTCTTTCAATTTAAGGAGGATAAATTGCATGATTCACATTTACATTCTCATTCCAAGTTTTCTTCAAAACACCATGGTTGCTGTTGTTGTTGGTAATTGTCCAATCAAGCACGATTCACAGTGACCCTATGAACAAAAGGTCTGAAGCCTATAACTATCATCATTTATCAAAGTTCAGAGTTTCCAGAGGCATGTTGTATGCTACCTTCCTGATTCCAAACACCATATAGAACCCAGTAAGAAAACTCACCTCACTTTTTTATTATTATTATTGTTATTATTATTTTTTATGTGTGTACTGTCAAATCAGATCTGACTGGTACAGGAGGTGATTATTCCTCCTCCTTCAGCAGAGCATCTGGTGGATTTGAACTGTGCACCTCTGGGATTGAAGTGCAGCTTCTTGCCACTAGGCCACCACAGCTCGCCTCACCTCACTTTTGAGGCTAAAATTTCTGTAAGGTTTTTTTTTTGGGGGGGGGGTTTGTGTGTGTGTGTGTGTACCGTCAAATCAGATCTGACTGGTACAGGAGGAAATTGTCCCTCCTTCCCCAGCAGAGCATCTGGTGGATTCAAACCTTGCACCTCTGGGATTGTAGTTGCAGCTCCTTGCCACTAGGCCACCAGAGCTCCCCAAATTTCTGTAAGATTTTAAGAAACTCATAAAAAATGTGTGCCACAGCCACAAAGCAGCCTTCCTCAAAGCACTGCACAGGCTGTAGTAATTCCACTTAGAGCCAGGTGCATGAGCCTGTTCACAGAACTCTGTGGGTCTCTTGAGAAAAAGGACACACAGCTTGCTCCAATCTGACCCGTCTCAAAGGCGTCAGCTGCTTTGCTCCATTTCAGGCTTACTCTAAGAACGCATCTCCATGTTCCAGCTTGGTCCCATGTAGGAGCCCAGCCGCAAGTCCTTCTTTTAGCTTCAGGTAGGAGAGTGAGTGGGAAGGAAATGAGGGGTGGGAGGATGAGAAAAGCCACTGCTGCTAGTCAGCCTGTCCTTCAGGAACCCCCTCCTATCTGCCCCTCCTTCATCAGTGGTTACACATCTTCATATAGGGAGAACAATACTTAACATATACCTTGTCCCTTCAGGTCATCTGAGAACACAGCTGGGGTCAGTCAGTGTGTTAAAGTTCAGCTTATTATGTACAATTCCAGGTACTAGATAGAGAGTCTAGGAAGCAAAGACTTCCTAGTACCTCTCCGTAATTAGCAGACTAGAACATGTTTTTGTTGTTGGGTAGCAATCCTGCTTGTTCTGTTGTTAGATAGCAACCCCATCCTGCACCATCCTCATTATTGCCACCATGTACAAGCCCACAGTTACAGTCACTGTCTCAATCTATTGCATTGACGGGCTTTCTCTCTTTTTCTGACCATCCACCTTCCCTAGCCTGATGTCTTTACAAAGAGTGGTCCCTTCTGATAGATAACAGGACCAAAGTATGAGACAGAGAGCAAGGGAGCAGAACAGGAATGTAAGCATCACTTTTAAGTTTAGATGAATAGTTGCATAAATAAAAAGGAACAGAGAGTTGGGAAGGGAAGCACAGCCCTCACCCCCCAGGTACCACACAATCTCCAGAGTACTGAGAAGTAATGCTGTCCTTCTGGAGACTAGCAATGGTCTCTGCAATTACTTGCTGTGCATCAGAAAGCTGGACAATGACTAAGGATGACGGAAAAAGAATCGATGCCTTCGAGCAAATAGGTCTGTCTTGGAGAGGATGAAACCAAGTTTCTCTTCAGAGGCTAGGATTTTGAAGCTCCATCTCACAAACTTTGGGTACATGGCCAGGAGGGGCTGATCCTTGGAGAAGGACATCATGCTGGGAAGGGTGCAGGGACAGCGAAGGAGAGGAAGACCGTGGATGAGATAAACTGACACAGTAACTGGGGCAATGCGGGTAGGAGTGTCAGTCAGTGAAACTGGCTCTGGACAGAGCGGACTTCAGAGCTGCAGTACACGGTCACTCAGGACAGGGCAGGCTTCAGAGTTGCTGTATTTAGGGTCACTCAGGACAGGGCAGGATTCTGAGCTGCGGTATACAGGGGCGAAAGATGTAGCGCATGATGGCGAGAAAGGTGAGTGCCTACTGCCCCATCTTTGCAGGAAAACAGTCCTGGGAGAGCAGTGGAATAGCTGACTCCTTGCAGACAGTTCCAGCGATCTGCGGAGAGTCTGCGCGGGAAGGCTGAGCTCCCGACTGGCTGAGTGCCCCGGACACTGCCCTGACCCTTGTCTCCTGGACTCTAAGCCCAGACCCCGATCCCTAAGCTCTGAGTCCCAACCACAACCACCCCGGAACCCGCCGTAGACCCGGGGCCCAACCCGGGATGAAACCTCACCGGGAACGCAGAACGACGACCCACAGAGCAGGGCTGGACCAAACAAGGACCTACATCTGCGTCCCAGGCCGCCCCACCCGCAGCGACCCCGCCCCACCGCATCTCCATAGTTACGACCCGCCCCCCGGCGCTCCGCCCACCGCACTTCGATATTCTTGCGAGAGTGGAGGCCAGCCTGCCCTCATTCCCGCGAGACTTGGCGGACGCCCACTTCCGCTGCCCCGCCTCCGGATGTTCCGTCCGCCGCGGCCCAGGGCTGGCGGGGACTGACGGTGAGTCGCGGGTTCGCCTGTTCCGCACCCTGGACCGCGAGGCCGGGGGCGGGAGCCCGCTTCTCCGCACGCCCCTCCCGCTTTCTGTCCCCCTCGCGGAACCCTCCGCTCCTCCCTCCCTGCCCCTCCTGCCAGGCTGCGTCCCCGCTTCCCTCCGCCGCCTCTCGCTGACCCCGCTTCCGCCTCCCCGCCCACTGAGCTCCACCCCACTTCCGCCCGTCCCCCCGCAGGCCTCCCGCCGCCCCGGAAGCGGCCCAGTGAGGCGCCGGCATGGCGGCGCGCTGGGGGCCGGCGCTGCTGCTGCTGCTGCTGCTGTCCGCGCACGCGGCGTCCACGCGGCCCGAGGACGACGACGTCCCCGCCGAGTGGCAGCTGCTGCACGAGGTGCAGGGCCAGGTGGGCGCGGGCAACTACAGCTACCTGCGCCTGAGCCAGGCGGGCCGCGTGGTGCTGCGCATGCACAGCCTGCGCGGCGACGCCGACCTCTACGTGTCGGACAGCACGCTGCAGCCCAGCTTCGACGACTACGCGCTGCAGTCGGCCACCTGCGGCCCCGACGCCGTGGCCGTGCCCGCGCACTTCCGGCGGCCCGTGGGCATCGGCGTGTACGGGCACCCGTCCCACCGCGAGAGCGAGTTTGTCATGAGGGTGTACCTCGACCCCGCGGGGCCGGACCTGCCGGGACAGGGCGCGCACGCACCGGACGGCGGGGGCCGGGCCGAGGAGCCCGCGGCCGAGGAGGAGTCCGTGCTCTGGACCGTGCTCATCAGCGTCCTCAAGCTGGTTCTGGAGATCCTGTTCTGAGGCCGCACTGTCCGGCCAGGGGTGCTGGCCGGCCAGGGGGTGCTGTCCGGGGGTGCTGTCCAGCACGCGCTGTCCAGCGGGGGATGCTGGCCGGCACGCGCTGTCCGGCCGGGAGGTGCTGCCCGCAGACGCGGCACACGCAGCACCGTTTCCCGCTGGAGATGAAAGGAGCCTGTGATGAGTTCCGCGCAGTGAAAGCTGAAAGGTCATCGGCCATGCCGCCCCCGCGACCACTGCTTTCCAGTTCACGCACTGGACGGCGGCCCCATCTCAGACCGACGGCGAGGGTGTCAAGGCTGCCAGGGCCTGCCGGGAAAGCTGCCTGTCAAACCAGCTGTAACTGCATCTTTGCTACCTATCAATTAAAATCCTTGATCATTAAATAACATTGTGCTGTTAGCGGTGAAAGACCAGAAACCAGTATAAACAGCAGTGTCAGGTACCTTTTCTTAGAAGGAACTGCAGACAAACAGGAATAGTTACTATGCTTAAAATTAAGTTGCTGCCTATTTCCACTGGGTTTCAGAGTTGGCCCAAATTCTAAAAGAATAGAAGACCAGCTGTTTATTGACCTAGAATTAGTATCAAGAGTAAGAATAGCTTTAACAGAAGTTAAATCAACTTGTAGATTTTAGGGCACAGACTTAATTTCAAAAAAGAAAGGTTTTATTGGCATAAAAATCAGTGTAAATAAGTTGGCACCAAATAGTTTGCATAAATGGATTTTACAGTACTGGAGTCAAACCCATTTTATCCCTCTTTGCTGTTTTTCCCCCTTCTGCCCACTTTCCGGGGCGTTGGGGGAGCACGCTGACAACAGTCACAAATCCAGCGACCTAGGAGAAAAATTATTAGTGAAAGTTTACAGGACTGAATTTTAAATCCATTTTATGCTCTTACGCATTGTCACTAGTGACACTAGACAGGAGGAAGGTAGGGCACTAATGGATTCCTTAAGTTAGGAAAATACAATCCTCAAAGTAATTCAAGTCATGCAGTACTGGAGAAAAGGGTGCAGGAGCAGTGCTATTCCTTGGTTTATGTGGAGCCTGACAGACTGTCCAACAAATGTTCACAACTCTTCCCTGTCAGGTCGTGCTTTCCGTGGGTGGTTTTTAAAATCTGACTAATCCATACACTACAGAGAGAGCTCTGGAGGCCAAGTGTTAGTGAGCTGTGCTGCCATCCTAAACGAGATCCACCCAGCTGCGCTGCAGGACGAAACGAGCAATTGCCTCCCCAACAGTTTATTGCCTCTTAAAAACCTACTGGAGGCTCTGCAATGGGTGGATTCTGACTTAAAAATATATGCTACAGTGTTTCTGTGGGCAACCCAGTGATCTGATTCTCAGAGGTAATGTTTCCAACTAACTCAAAAAAACGTTTCTAAAGATGATAAACGGAAACTGTAGTAGACAACTAGTGGGGGAAAAGAGATTCAACTTGGGACGAATAACTGAAACAGAGTGGTCCAGAAGGACCCATTGAAAGTCAGCAACTACCTATATATATATTCCTTTCTGAAATTGAAACACTTAGCATGTATAGAAAGCTTAGTAATACTAATTGTTCTAATATAATATTAAAGTCCTAGTAATGATGAATTTGGATCCTTTTCTGCCTTTTTCTCTCGCTGCTCACTCGCAGCTTTGTGTCAAACAGCAGGTCCTGGTGTAAACGGAGACCCTTTAAATCGAGTACTTAATCAGTGATTTTAGTAATCTGTAACACTCATTACTATATACTTGCTAGGACTCATGGAAGAATGTTGGATACTCATTCAAGTGACTTAGCTTCCCAAGTATTCTCAAGACACTTTGATGCCTGGAAAGTGTTAGCCATGCAAATCATTTCTAAAATGACATCAGTACTCATTCGTGTAATGTTTCAGTACAACTCTTGAGATTTTCCCCTTGATTTATTTCTAACTTGCAATTGTCTTGCTGCCTCTACTTGCAGCGTCTGGATTTACAAGGATTAACACATCAGTCAGCTTTCTAAGATAACGTATAAAGTTTTGAAATGAAAGCTCTATGTTCTGGTACTTAAGAGGGAAAAGGGTCTCAATATTCTACATTGAACTATTAAAACTTTTAGATTAAGCATTCTAATTATTTTAAGTTAGACTGTCTAGAAGTTAGAAACATGTGACTATGATGTATCACAGCTTTGGTCACTTATTTCCAGTAGTAGGGTCCAAATTTCTTTTTTCATTATAGTTAATCTTTTCTAAGAAACAGGGCTGGGTGGGTCCCATTACTAATAACAATGTTGTTTGTTTTTTAAAATCTTTACCTGATGGAATAGCACCGAGACCCACACAGAAGGTATGGTAACCTCTGTCACACACATCACAGAACATCATTTCTTCTTCATGGTGGGGTTGTCCACATATAATGCATGTTTTACATTCCATACACTGCCATGGGTAGGTCTTAATTATAGAAACAAGCTCCATAGTCATATCCAGGCAAGAAGGATGGCCTAAATCAAAACCAATATTAGTAGCATTCCACACAAGAATTTTTAACTTAATATGGCAAAATAAAATAATAGTTGAAGTTTCCAAAAAAAAATGGGTTTAACAACTGGTCAAAGAGAAATGAGTAAACAATGAAGGCTAAAATACTACTTGTCTATCCTTTCAAGTTACCCTAAGTAAAGGAGGATTCTCTAGATGACCAACAACGTTGCTAGTTTCAGAGGCAGTAAGGGTGGTTAAAGCGTTGAGAAGATTAGTAGGTACTCACCACTGTTGTCACACTGGGAGCAGTGTATAAGTGATTCAGCCTTTCCTTTCTTGTTGGACTCCTTACCCTTCAGACAAATTCCACATATAGCATTTGGAATGACCTTTGGCTGGAAGGGTAGAAGAGGGCTATAAATTCATGCTACAAGAACTTGGGATGGATTCAAAAGGAATGATTACTGTTTGGCCATATTTTTACTTCTGGTAAGTTGCTAATGAGGACCTTTTTGACCTGAAGGTGGCTCTTCACATAAAGACAGTCTACTAAGTAAGCCTTACATCTGAAAGAACTAGGTCAACATCAAGCTCTCCTGTTAGAATCAGTGTAGTATCCTACACTACTCCTCGTACTGTAAGCTCTCTGCAGCAAGCAGGAGGGAAAGAAGCAATGTCTATTTTCACTATTAAGTGGGGAAAAGGTCCCAAGTGGCTACTACACAAAAGATAGTTTGATTATAGGAAAGAAAACATGGTAAATAGCTTACACATTGATTTTATTTTAAAACTTATTTTCCACAGTTGTTAAGCTAGACCTATAAAATCTATATTACAAAGTCAGTGTTTTAACATTTTTAATCAGAAGATGTTTCATAGATATGCTGCCATGTGTACATTTATTGAAAATTGAGTTGTACAGTTACCCCCTTGACACATCTAACAAAAGAGCTCAAGGAGAAAACATTTGACTATGAGATGGAAAAGTTAAGTCTATTAAGAAACAAAGACACCCTTGAAAACAGTAATGCTCTTTAAGACTGAAAACAGAACACACAACTCATCTATGTGGGCCCTTGGTCAAACCTGGCAAAGGATGGAAAGCTCAGGTAACAACCTCATGAAGGGAGCCCAGGATCAGAAGACACCTCATTCTAGAACTATGCATACAACAGTTGGGGAGCAAGCCTGGGCCCAGAATGGTAGGCATTGGGGGGAACATGTATATGCAAAGAAAAATGGGTGGTTTTTTTTTAAAAAAAATTGCTTTATTATAACCCATCCAAATGCATCTTCCATTTCCCTTTGCTGTGTCACAAAACCAAAGAGAAACCTAAACATAACTACCTTTTTTTGTATCAGTCCAGCTTTGAAAGTTCTCAACTGCCACCTTCATACCCTGCTAGGCCTTAAACAATTTGTTCTTGTTCATTCTTTAACTTTGTTTTTTTTAATTATCTCTTTGCAAAAGATGACAGAGGCATTCAAAAATAATTTTTGGCTTATTTATTTAAAAGATGTCAACCTTATACATAAATATAATAAAAACAACTAAACAATCACAAATGTTTCTACAAATAAATATCATGGACGTGAAAGCATACATGGAACACGTTCGGTTCACTGTCTTAGGTCTCCAACGTGTGCATCTACACCCTGCTCCCGACAGTGGTTCATGTCACATGTGCCCACCTCAGCCTTGCCTGGGCTGCCCTCATTCCCACTACATCTGTGCATATGGTATTTGTCTTTTCCTACACCTAAGTGAAAAAGAACTAGGAAGTGCACTTCCGTGATCCAGATTCTGTGCTGTTCTGATCAAGACTGACTGCTGCAGACACAGCAGAAGGCCAGTTCTCCACCCACCAAAAGTAACAAATGGCTTCTGTCACAGTACCCATGCTAAATACAGGTGATGTGTTCTTCACACTGGTAGCTGAAGTTACAAACTTTAAAACCTTCCATTGGAGTCAGAGGTAACCACACAATATTAAATTCTAAAGAAAGCCTTATAGGACATCCTTTACAAAAGTAGAAAAGAACAGACAGAGGGCTAGTCATTCACATTCTAGAGCAATTCAAGTTCTACAATCATTAAAATAGACATTAAATACCTAGGATAAAGTGGATACCAGGAATTCTACGTTTACGTCTAACCTTAAAATGATTATGTTTTATTATACCACTTCAAAATTCTTCTTACCAAATGTCTTCATCTTGATGAAAAGAAGAAGAGAAAGGGTAGAAAGGGCGAGGGACAGGGCACACAGGCAGCTTGCCCCGGGGATGCTGCAGCTCTCTGCAAGCAGACAGTACAGCCACCCTCCCTACTCTGGTGTCCATAATGCTGGAGAGGAGGGCTCAAGACCACCAGTATCAGCCTCTTGGGGCCTTGGAGAGTTGAGGAAAGGAGGGATGGATGGAGGAACGGACGGACAGACAGAGGTTCCATAAAGAGGAACAGAGCATAGCCCTGCACGGTCACCTGAAACTGCTCAGTTAACTGGTAACTGCAACAGCATTTCCTTTATGGACAAGATCACCACCTGCATCTGAGCAGTTCTCAGAACTGCATCAGAAGGTCCACAGAAGTGCCTCTCCACACACTCCTCTATCTTCCTGTCTGAAAGACATTTATGGTGGCACTAATCTAGACAGATTTTCATTTGATGTAGCCTGAATTCTAACAATTACATTTTCATTCCAGGTTAATATAACCTAAATAACAACGTGCTGCAAATATGAGGAAGCACTAGTGAAATCTTAGGAAGCAAAACATGAAACACATTATCCTCTTTCTTAACTCCCCCCCCTTTTAAAAAAATTCCCCTCTTTTAAAGCATAAATATATATAATGAGACCTTCAGCTTGAAGTACCCTAATATTTAGGCACATCTTGGCTTATTAATACTTTTCAAAGGGAGGTTCACATTTAATAAACCTGTTAAATTAACTTAATTATGTCTAGAGACTGGTTTCCAATCTTTGAAATACCGGAAACATTTCTGGGTGCTGAGAATGTTCACAAAGACTTTAGAACGTGTTTTGCATATTAAAAGAGTCCCTTGGGTAGATTAATCTATGTTCTCTTGATAGTGAATCAATGTAGTGTTGAACAGTTCTTGTCTGTCGGCCTGTAATAACATTCCTTTCTCTATCCTTGTTTGCTTATTTGAACACATGATTAGCCCAGGCATATCGTGTGGAGAAAGATCTATGCAACTAATACTGGAAGAACTTGGGATCCCAGCCTCTGTTAGGGCACAGCATACAGTCAACTATGTAGTCAAGGTTCTGAAATGTAATCTTTGGAGTTCTGCTTTAAGTTGTTAAGCATGAATTTCAATCAACAGACTGAGAAGCCATATACGTGGAAACAAGTACAGCTGTCCACTTCCGGACCCCACATTCATCAGCCACTCTTGGAAGGCGGGCCTTGCTGAATGAAGCTTAAAATATTTGTGAAAGGCTGAAGGAATGTGTCGTTAAAATGTCTGACAGCTATGGGCACACTGGCAGTGAGACTGCTTTTCTCAAGGTGACATGAGCTTCTGGAAGCCCAGGCACGTGTTCCTGTGGGTCACTTTGCACAGACACAAACTGATGTTAACTGCTTCACCAGTAACCTTCTGACCACTGTGCTAATCATGTTCCCCCAGGATGCCTCCATCGCAAGAGGAACAAATCTACTATCTCAGAACCAAAGGATCTGCATTTCATTACTGTCCTCCAAAAGAGAAGCTCGAGCTAATTCCAAATCCTTTTCCCATATTCTTAAATCCTGACACACAAATAAGCTTGCTGGCCTCACAGTCACCCTCTGAAGGGCAGGGAGCAGGCAAAGGGATGGAATATAAAATAAAACAATTATAACAGTTACTGATAACCTACTTTCTAACTCTGGGAATAACCAGATCAGAAAGCTACCAAGTGCGCCTAAGCCACCTATGTCACCTAGTAATGCTGCAATCTTTGTCACTGAATTTCAAGAACTATTTGTCAAATTTATGCTAAAATAAAAGCAATGTAAAAAAATAGGCTTCACCATTTCCTATTCCCAGAATTAGCAGAATTGGATGGATGGACGGATCAAGGAATCCTCCAGTAAAACCCAGATATTTTTCAATGAAAGGCACTACCAAAACGCACCTCTGTCTACCAGTGATCCTCCCAGCGCAGTACAGCACGTTTGTGGTTAAACTGGGAAGTGTATTTAAAGTGCCAGGTAATTACAGTTTTCAAGAGGTATAAAGTTCTGCCTATGCATTAATTTTGAAAACCTATGTTTCCCTGGTTACTATTTATGAGGGGTAAAGGCTCTTTCGTAAATTATGAATATATAGAACACAGATGCTACACCACAGCCATGAGTGACAGAGAAGCCACCGAGGGAAGCAGAGAAGAGCTGGCGACAGAGCTGACAGAGCAGCAGGCTGCGGGGAGCCGCTGAAACGCAAAGAGAAAGCCCTCGGGGAGAAGCTGTCAGGGAGGAGGCCCAGTCAGGGGCTTTTTTCTTCTACCTTGTACCCGGGCACTGATTTGGACAGTATAGAACGTTTGGAACCATCTTTCCTTGGCGTAGCAGCTTTATCTTTAGACTTGGGTCTTCCCTGTGGGGAGTCCTCGGGGCCATTGGGAGAGCCCTCGCCGTCAGATGCATCCCCGGAGGAGCTGTCCTGGAATGAGGAGAGAGTGCCAGCTTGCGATGAGATGGGAAGACTTCCCACTGTACCAGTTACAAGAAGTCAAGTCATCACACTTAATACAAGGAAACATTCTCCTTAGGATGCCTGGCATCAATTACGGAGCAACAGGAACCAGGGTCAGGGTACCCTCACCCCCCCAAATCCGGGACCGACAACACGTAGAGAAAGTGGTAAGAAGAGCCTCATCCCCTCCCTTGCAGACTCAGCCAAGGCCCTCCAGGCATTCCCATCAATGGCAGCAGTGGAAGCTGTTAAGTAGGAAGGCTGCTATTGTTTGGAGCTGTGCGGGTCCACACTAACTCACACCTGACCCTCCTGGGGGTATCTCAGCTTCTTATTTAGAAGCTAAAAATTACACAGGAAGAGACTACCTGCCTTTCTCCAGCACAGTGGCTGGTGGATTCCAACTGCCTGCCTTTGGGTTGCTGGCACAACTTCTTAGCACTGGGCCACCAGAACTCCCTTTCTTGAGAAAAACCAGATTTTCCCAGAGAAGCTTTCCTGGCACTGTGATTAAAGCGCTGGTGGTGTGCACCCCAGGAGAAGAGGCAGACTGCTTTCAAAGACTGACAGCTTTGAAAGTCCTATCAGGGTAGTTCTTTCTCCATCCCCGGGGTCTCTCAATCAGGAGACTAAGCTCAGTGGGTTTGGATGTTTTTCCAGAATTAGATGGTGGTACTATCCCATTTGCCATCCCAGAGACAGGATTCTCACCGAAGCGCCTCTGCTCCGGTACTTCTCATCACCACGCCTATCCTCAACATCATCTGAGTCACCATCACTCTCCAGAGCAGGGAGCTCAGGGTCCAGAGGCGGCTCGTACAGTGCAGTATTCAACGGCAAATACCGCAGCTCATCGGGTGAGTACCTGCAGAGGCAAAGAACCAGAGGAGTATCGGTAATGTCTGAGAATATGGTTAAGTACCGACAGTGCCTGAGAATCAAAGGAGTGCTGGAAGTGCCTGAGAATCAGGGGAGCACCTGCATTGTCTGAGAATATGGTAAATTATCTACAGTGCCTGAGAATCAGAGGAGTGCCGGCAATGTCTGCCTGAGAATCAGTGTCTGCAACATTTGAGAATACAGTAAATACCTACAGTGCCTGAGAAGCAGGGGAGTACCTACATTCCCCAAGAAAAAGGGAAGCACCTAAAACATCCAAGAATACAGTAAGTACCTACAGTGTCTGAGAAATCAGAGAAGTGCCTGAGAATCGGCAGCACCTGCAACGTCTGAGACTAGGATGAGGGCCTGAGAATCTGTAGAGTACCTCAGTGTCTGAAAATCAGGGGAGCACATGCCGTAGTTAGAAACAAGGGAGGACTTGGAGTGCCTGAGAATCTTCCTCTGCTTCTTTCATGTGCCATGGAGCAAAAGTGACTAGCTGACCTGAGCCAGGAAGACAGCCTAAGCCTTCTCTACAAACCTCAAAAACTTCTATAAAGATCATTCAAGATAGTTTTCATTTTGGTGCTTAAAGGGAAATTAATTAAAATACAACAAACCAACCTCTTCCTTAGCCAGGAAAGGTAAAACATAGGTTAGACTTTCTAAAAAAATAAGCCCCCGATAGCACCACTCCCAAGGACACCTCAACGTAGGCATGAGTCTGGTAACGGGCAGTGCCCAGTGGATATGCATGCAGCCCTCAGCCTCGCCCCACCGGCTGTGCGTGAGGCCTCAGCCCTGGCCGCTCCTGAGAGCACTGCCTCAGACAGCAGTATGAGGACGGGCTGAGTCACCGGCGCAAACACGCTGCCACAGACACCGCCTCGGTCATGCAGCCACTTCGACTGCTCCAACACCAGACTCACTGTCCCTCCCACTGGTCAGGATGGAGATGGGCAGCAGCTGGCTAGCTAGAAAGACTCCTGTGCCCTGGCTGAGTAACCCCTGGAGCCTGCTCAGCCCCTCCCTGCGGCACTGCTCCAGCGAGCAGCAGGGCAGTACACTGGCACAACTCTTCCAATAGCTGCTGACCTTAAAGGATAAGTGAATACTTGCTGACTCTTGGCTAAAATTTTATTCTCACCACTGGGCCAATTGGCAGCATTATGATAGATGGTGAAGAGACTGAGATTGCTAACAGTTTTAGTTTGCCTGAATCCACAATCAACACTCTTGGTACTAGCAGCCAGGAAATCAAAAGACAAACTGCACTGGGCAAGTCTGCTGTCAGAGACCTGTCCAGAGTACTGAAGAGCAACGACGTTACTCTGGAGACTAAGGTGCACCTGATCCAGGCCATGGTCTTTGCAATTATGTGCTATGCATCAGAAAACTGGACAATGACTAGGGATGAAAGAAGAATTGATGCCTTTGAGCTGTGGTGCTGGAGAAAAGTATTTAATATACCATGGACTAAGAGAACAAACAGGTTCATCCAGGAGAGGGTGAAACCAGGCTGTTCCTTGGAGGCAAGGATTCTGAAGCTTTGTCTGACATACTTTGGACAGGCTACAAGGAGGGACCAGTCTTTGGAGAGGGACATTATGCTTGGGAAGGTGGAGGGACAGTGCAGAAGGAGAAGACCTTCGATGAGATGGATTGCCTCAGTGACTGGGGAAGGTGTGTCAGAAACAATAAGGTTGGCCCAGGATAGAGCAGGGTTAAGGCGGTTATACATAGGATTGCAGGCTACTGTTAATGGCACATTAAAACAACAATAGGAACTATTCCATGTTTTCAAGTCTGTTGTCTAAAGTTCAAGTTTAAAGGTGAAGAAGAAGCCAAGTCTTTGAACAAAAACGCACCTGCTCGCCCTCTTTGGGAAACAGCACTCTTGGGCAAGCTAGTGAAGTGGTTCAGCTACGAGGGCCTGGCCTACTTCCAGGCCCTGCAGTCCCTCACTGCACTCACACATGGATCAGAAGCAGGAAGAAGCAAGAATACAGACTGGGCAGTAGATAGGTGCTGCCAGGTCAGCTAGGGTCACTTTGTGCCAACTGGGAGCCAGTGGCACACTGCTCAGGGGCAGACGGGGATTCACCCAGGAACTTCTGGGAATACTTCCAAACACCTTCTCCTCATCACAGACAACAGAGAGGCATCCTACAGAGTACGAGAGGATGGCGGAGAGTACTTCTGAGCAGAAAGTGTGAAGGCACTGGGGTCCGCCCTCCACCCGCCCCACCTGGTCAGCGCCCCCCCACCCCGCCCCACCCCTGGCCACCGTGAACATAAGGACCATGCCTGCCCAGTACCTTTTGTAATACTCCTGGAACTGTCCTGGGATAAGAGCCACAGGATAGGAGCTGACCTTGGTCCGCTCTGTGGGCAACACTCTGTATTTCCCTTGAGGCACCTGGATGACCTATGTTACCATGGAAACACAGACATTTCCACATCAGGACCTGAGGGCCTAGATAAGACGGTTCCTCTGCTGTACCCCACAGCCCCCTAAAAGCTAAACACCTAAGACAGTGGGAACTGAGGCCTCAGGGAGGGAACTCCTACAACACCCTCAGCTGTCCTGCCTGCCCCAACCATCAAATATATGTAGCTCTTTCTCCTGTCTCACCAGTGTAGGTCACCTCAAGAAACCACTGAATCTGGTCATACTTAATGGCCCTGGGACCTGGGTAACCTGTACAATTGTCTGTAGTGCAATTCCTGAGATGGGAGTAAGGACAGCCTCAGACACAGCGATAGGGAGAACTAATCAAATCAACATAGAGATCTGTTAGAGAAGCTCCAAGGCAGAACAAGGACAAGGCGTCCACCATAAAGAGACAGCTCCCTGGAGAAAAAGGAGTGCTAAGCACTCCTGTCCTGGAGAGGGTGAAACCAGGATGCTCCCTGGAGGCAAGGATTTTGAAGCTCGGTCTCACACTCTTTGGGCATGGTGTCAGGAAGGATTAGTCCTTGCAGAAGGACATCATGCTTGGAAAGAGAGACCCTGGGTGAGATGGACTACATACAGTGACAACAGGGTCATGTCTGTCAGAGGCAGTAAAGCTGGCTCTGGATAGAGTAAGGTTCAGAACTGTTGCTCATAAGGTCGCTATGCAGCATAGTCCACTCCATAGCACATAACAAAAAATCAATAAAGCACACTGTGGAACAGGCCATGCTAGGTCGTGGGAGGAGAGGTATCAAGAGGCCGCAGGAAGGACAGGCCCCCACTGGCAGTCCCCAGGGCACAACCAATCAAATCTATTCCACTTGTATCTCCAAGCAGCCCTCATTCCCCAGGGAGCCCAGGGGACCAGCGAGGCTGAGGGGCTAGTGAACCACAGCATCCTACGTGTGTCTGCAAGTCAAAGTAGGCTCTTCTCTCCTCCATGCGCTCCCGGTTGAGGTTACTGTTGAACTCTGCAGCCTTTCTGGCAGCCTTCTTGATGTACTCAGGCACTTTGCTGGCTTCGACCTTCTGGGTATTTTGCTGCTGCATTTGCTGGAATAAAAATATTTCAGTTGGGGGCCACTAAAGACACTACAAACTGTCCCGTTGGTCAGGTGCAGGCCCCCTGGGTACCCACAGAGTACTCCTTGTAGTGGTCTGTGATCCGCTGGCGCTCCTTCTCCTGCAGGATGACAGAGTACTCTGCATGCTTGGCTGGATACTCTTTTATCATTAAGTCAATCACCTCATCACTGCGCAAGGCTGTCAGACCTGCCTCAAAACAAAAACCAAGGTCAAAATGCCGTTTTAATTTTTTTTTTTTTCAATTTTTTCAAAATGCCATTTTTCAAAATACATTGCTGCGTCTTCAAACTATGTTTCAATAAGGGCAAATAATACACTTGAAAATAACAAAAACTAGTATTCATATAAAGTGGAATAATTAAAAAGAAACACATTACCCATGTTGCTGAGGCAAACCAAGTTTTCACCCATGTGTGTATGTGTCCTATTAGATACTCTGGATTATAAATAACTCTGGATTTAAATATTTCTTTATTAAAAACAACTGCTAAATAAATGATGGTTTACACTAACCTCTCACAATTATTATAGGGCAGTAAACAATTAATGTTCCTATGTATTACAACTCCAAGTTTTCAAGTTACATTCACAAAAAACATCACTGCACACATAAATCACATATGCAATTTCTAAAACTCAAAGTATCAAATTTTGTCATGTGCTCAACTCGTCAAGTTAAGAGATCTAAAAAGGCAGGGCAGCAGTCAATTCCTCACGATCACACTGCAGTAACGTGCGGACCTCAGGGGCAGAGCACAGACATAAGGAGAACTGAAGACGAGCAAAACTATACTGTCACAGACCATAGGTTAAATTCTTTTATTTCAATAATAACTAAAACTGAAGTGAACCACATCTACGTAGCTCCACCTAGGACGTCAATTTTGAAGCCTATTTTAGGGAAGGAGATGCACTGTCATCCCATCAGTGTTAAATTCAGACAAGTTATGCTGAAAGCTTTTATTACCCAGGGTGCACTGCGTCTCCGTGATGACATTTAACTCTCTCAGGTAGAGTTTCTCCTTGTGAGACAAGTCTCGTCGCTCTAAATCTCCAAGGAAAAGACACAAGGCTATTCAAAAATGTGGAAGGTTATACATTTGTAAACATTTTTATGTTTAAAGGTAAAAACCACTTTTAAAAAGTTAAAATACTGATGGGTTCTTAAAAATACTACACTTTATATACTCTTAAGTTCTACTAAAGGGACTAAAAAACTCCTTATTTTATTGACAAATAAAAGCAAAATGAAACTGAAAATAGAATAATCCAAAGCAAGAAGGCAGAAATCAATGACTCTATTAGTTTATCAAGCTTTAGCCTTTCACAGACTTAGATACACGTGATATAGCCAATATCATTCCCAAAAAGACATGCACAGCGGTTAAGAATGGCTACAAAATTATTTTCTGTAGGAAAATCACCTTCCTCATTTTGATTTTAAATCATGTATAAGACTTAAGAACAAACTACAGTGGAGAAAGATGTTAGAGGAAAGTAGTAAGTGAAACACTGCCAGCACATGAGTATAAAGTATACTATATGTAATTCATACTCAAGTAATCAGCAGACAACCTAGCATTAGAAAAAAAGAAGAAAAATAAAACTATCACCGCAAAGTATGTCAAGCTTGCAACAACCAAAACTATGTAAGGCAGAAATCACACAAAACAAATGCAAAATAGTGACCACTAACTGAAAAGTAATAGAAAGGTGGCAATACAGCACCCCATCGAAGGATTCACGGCAGTCCCAGTGAATTCAGTTTATCAGTCCTCATTGTATAAGACACCTTCTCCATAAACGAGCATGAAGTACCTGGGTATTTTCGTTTGAAGGAAGTCACACCCAAGTACTCGCTGACTTGTTCTTGCAGCATATAGTACTCTCCTGTCTCGTCAGGCGGCCACTTGTACTCAATCAGATTCTCTGCTGGATAGTAGCTAAAACTGAGCACAGAAACACATGTTAGTCTTTAAAAAGGCTTTTATTAAATTTAAATGTTTCTTTTTGAGGAGATACTGAAAAACTATTTTAAGCATTTAACATCTTCATTTGTCTACTGTGACCTCATGAAGTAAAGTTCTGATTTGATGTGTATCACAAAATTTACAAAACAGGTTGAAGGAAAACAAACACTCATTTCTAATACTACCCCCAAAACTACAATTAAAACAGCATTTTCTATAAGACTCAAAGAACCAAGGATCACAACCATTAAGAAAAAGGCACTGTTTAGCTTAATAGACCCATGCAGTGCACAAAGAGGGTACAATATCAGTTCTAAATTCTTCTTTTGTGCTCCAAACCCATGGCCAGCACCAAGGCCACCCAAGGTGTGGTAATCTGCTATGCTGGTCAGTCAGCATGCAATCTGAAAAAGAAATCAAACTCTAAAAACCTACTCTTCAATAAACTGCACTACAGCCCATCATCATCGTCATCATCGTCATCCATTCTCACAAGCTGCTACTGCACATCAAGCACAGAAATGGATTTAGTCTGGATTAAAAAACTCCATCTAAGAGTTAACACTGTAACACTTTCAGAAGAAAAAAGAGGTGAAAAACGCAGACCCTTGGTTCTGGTTGTGTGTGTAAAATGTATCACTCAAGCAGGTGACCAACAAAAGAAACAGATAAACTAGACTAACAAATTTAAAAATTTTCGTGCTGCTAATGACACTATGTGAGAAAGTGCAAAGACAGCAGACACAATGTGAGGAAGTCCTTAGATATCACGTATTTGATAACTTACATTTGTTGTTGTTTGGTGCTGTGAGCCTAGTAAGGCTCATAGTCAACCTATGAGCAAGAGACCTGAACCCGGTACTGTCCTGTGCCATCCTCATCATGTCAGACACCTGAGCCCATCGCTGCAGTCACTGTGTCAATCCATCTGGTTAAGGCTCTTCCTCTCTTGTGCCATCCCTCCACCTTTCTAACCAGGATGGCATTTTCCAAGGAATAGCCTCTCCTACCAACATGCCAAAAGTATGTGAGAGGATATATTTTAAACGACACTTAACATACAGAAAACATTCAAAATTCTTATTCTCCTAATGGAAGAAGAAGCTGAAGCTGCACTGAAGGCATAAGCAATTGACATGTTTCCACCAAGAGAAGCAGCCCTGGATGTACTCAGCAGTCTGTGCCAGGAAATTTGGAAGACAGCTGTCTGGTTAAGTGGCTGGAAGAGATATCCATTTCTGTTCCCATTACCAAGAAAGGTGAACCAACAAAATGCGGAAATTTTCAAATATCATTCATTTCATATGTAAGGAAAATACTGCTGAAGATCATTCAAAAATGGCAAATAACAGTACACAGAGAACAGCCAGAAGTTCAAGCTGTACTTAGAAGAGGAGGCTGTGGCACCAGGGATATGCTGGCTGAAAGCAGCGATTACAAGAATGTCTATTTGTGCTTTATTGACCGTGCAAAGGCATTTGACTAGATGAATCCTAACAAATTATGGCTAAAAATGAGAAGAATGGGAATTCTAGAACACTTAATTGTGCTCATGTGAGACCTAGACCTAAATCAAGAGGCTTCTGTGCCGATAGAGCAAGGGAACATTGTTGTTGTTGTTGTTGTTGTTAGGGGCCATCGAGTACAACTCGTAGCAACCCCGTGAATCGCTGACCTGAACCCTTATCCTATTCTGTGCCATCCTCATCGTCTATGACACACTTGAACTCATTGCTGAAGTCACTTTGTCAATCCATCTCACTGGGGTTTTTCTCTCCTTTTCTGACCCTCCATCTTTTCAAGCATGGCATCCCTTTCTAAGGAATAGCCTCACCTAGCTACACTTTCAAAGTATGAAAGACAAAATTTTGCCATTTTTGTCTCCAAGGAGCACTCTGGCTGCACTTTTTCCAAGGCATATCTACTCTGGCAGTCCCTGGGATATTCAGTACTATTCTCCAGCACCACAACTCAAAGGCATCAATGTGCATCAGGGTTGAATCCTCTCTCCAAGCCTATTCAATCTGTATGCTGAGCAAAATATTCAACAAACTGGACTCTAAGAAGAAGAATGTGCCATCAGGATCAGAGGCAGACTCCTCAATAATTTACGTTATGCAGATGACACAATCTTGTTTGTAATAAAGAGAGGAGGACTTAAAACCCTTGCTGCTGAAGATCAAAGAATAGAGCCTTCAACACAGATTGTATCTCAATGTCAAGAAAACAAAAATTCTTACCACTGGACCCATAGGCAACATCATGATAGATGGAGACAAGATTCAAACTGTCAATGGCTCCATCTTCTCTGGATCCACAAAAACACCCTGGGTACCAGCAGTCAGGAAATCAGGAGTATACTGCACTAGGAAATGCTGCAGTCAGAGACCTCTCTCCACATTACTGAAAATGCTGTCAGTCTGAGGACTGCAGCGCACCTGATTCAGAGCACGGTCTTTTCAATTATTTGCTATATGTCTGAGAGCTGAACATCTTTTATTCAAAAGATGACAGAAAAAGAACTGATGCTTTTGAGTTGTAGTATTGAAGAAGAGAAATTAATATCCCATGGACTGTGAAAAAGAACAGATATGTCCCTTTTTTGTTTTTTTAATTGGTCTGCATACACTAATTTGTTTATACTGTTTAATTCATGTACATAGAGTGTGGGGTGGGGGTTGGTCCCCTCCCTCCACCCACTAAACTCTGCAATACTGTAAACAAATATGTCTTGGATAAGGTGCAACTGTAGTGTTCCTTGGAGGCACAGATGATAAAGCTTTGACTCTTAGAGTTTGTGCATGATGCAAGGAAAGGTTATTCCTTGGAAAGGACATCAAGCTTGGAAAGGTGGAGGGTCAGTCACAGAGAAGAAGGCTCTCAACCGGATGGACTGACACAGTGACTGCAGCAATGGGTCCAAGTGTGTCCGAGACTTTGAGAATGGCCAGGACAGGACAGATCTGCTGCTCATAGGGTACCTATGGGTCATATATAACCCAGAGGACAATGGTACCTAACAACTCTTATTGTCAACAATAAGAAAAACAGGCAAAGATGTAAATAAAGTTATCTCCAAAGAAGATTTACAAACAGCCAATAAGCACAGGAAAGAAATGCAACATCATTAGTCACTAGGGAATAGCAAATTAAGATTCCCCTTCTCTCAATAAGATGACCAAATACTACCAAGTGTTTAGGAGAAAGAAATCAGAATCCTCATACACTCACTGTGGTGAGACTCTAATACGATTCAGAGGTTCATCTGACCAAGGCAGGAGCTTAAGACAAAACAAACACTAAGATGCTCAAGACCTTGATTCTCATGCTGAAAACTGCCTTCTGATAAAGATGCAGTTAGGAAAACAGAGGAAGTCAGCGAATGAGAAAACAAACAGTAAAAATACCTTGGAGTCCAGTTACCATATTTCATATTTTACTCCTTAGGTAATGAGAAACTTCTCCATCAAAGCTATGAGAACCACAGGTCGGGAGGACACCCAGCCACAAGTTCCTCTCCCTTTACCTCTTGACTAAGGAAAGTCTTAAGTAGTTCATTCCAGTCATGACACTTTGCTGCTGGTCAGAGAAAATGTAACAATATGATACAACAATTTTACTTAGTTATATGTTGTTGTTATGTACCATCAAGTTACCTCCAACTCAGAGCAACATAGCTCTGAACTCTGTTCTATCCTGAGCTAATCTTACTGTCTCTGATACACCTACCACCATTACTGTGTCAATCCATCTCATCCAGGCTCTTCCTCTCCTGCTTTGTCCCTCCACTCTTCCAAGTATGATATTCTTCTCTAAGGACTGGTCCCTCCTGGCCACAAGCCCAAAGTATGTGAGACAAAGCTTCAAAATCCTAGCCTCCCAGGAGCAACCCGGTTTCACCCTCTCTAGGATAAATCTTTTTGTTTTCTTGGTGGTCCATGGTTATGCTCAATACTCTTCTCCAGCATCACTGCTCAAAGGCATCAATTCTGTCATCCATCCTCTCTGATGCATAGCAAGTAAAGACAATAGGTTTATCCAGGTCCCTGAACAGCAGCCTTACCCAGAGCAATTTGTCTTCTGATTTCTTGACTGCTGCTGCCTACAGTGCTGACTGGGAAGCCAAGGTAAAATTGTTAACAATCTCAAATCTCTTCTCCATCTAGCATGGTGCTGCCAATTGGCCCAGGGGTGAGAATCTTTGTCTTCTTGATAATGAGTTTCAATCCACACTGAAAAGACTGTCCTTGACCTTCTGCACCAAGTGCTTCAGGTCCTCCTCAGTTTCTGCAAGCAGTTATGTTATATATATGCATGATGTAAGTTGTTGATGAGTCTTCTCCCAATCCTCATGACACATTAATCCTCATAAAGCTTAGCCTCCTGAATGATCTGTTCTGCATACTGACTGAAAAGGTATGGAACAGGATACATCCCTGGAGTACACTGTTCCCAATTTTGAACCATGCAATGTTTCCTTGCTCTATTCTAACGACTGCTTCCTGGTCCAAAAATAGTTTTCGCATGAGCACAATCAAGTGTTCTGGGATTCCTATTCTTCTCAAAGTTAACCACAATTTGTTGTGATTCAAACAGGCAAAGGCCTTTACATAGTTAATGAAACACAGATAGATATTCCTCAAGTACTCTTTGCTTTCAGCCAAGATCCATCAGACATTGACAATAATGTCTCTAGTGCCAGCATCTCTTCTAAAATCAGGCCTATATCTAGTAGTCCTCTCTTGAGTAGTTTTTGGATAATCTTCAGCAGGATTCTGCTTGCATGTGGTATCAGTGATATTGTTCAATAATTTCCACACTGTCCGGTCACCCTTTTCCGGAATGGGAAAAAATACGTACCTCTTCCAGTCATTTGACCAGGTGGTTGTCCTCCAGATTTCTTGGCACAACTTGTTGAGCACATCTAGGGCAACATCTGTCTGTTGAAACATGTCAATTGGTATGCCATCAACACCTGA